TGACACTGGTGTGTATAACTGAACAAATGGAGTTATGTTTCGCAGCAGTGCTCACGAATCTGCAATACCTAAAGTTACATTAATGCTCTGGACTCCCTTTCCATTTGACCGAAATCGTGATCCTGGGTAACTTTGCATTTAGGGGTCATTTAAGTTTATTTGTCGATGTTTCATTTACAATCTGCCATAAGGCGAAGTGAATATTTTCATAACAAGAGAATCCTTGCTGATGTTAGATGAATACTCCAGGGGTTAAAGTCAGGAAAAAAGTAAATATTAAAGGTCTTCTGGACTGATTTTTTTGGAAAATATAAACATGTGCCTCAAGCAGTGGCGTCTTTTTTGAGTGAGAAACAATCAAGTTGTTGTATGCAGAATCCGGATTAAATATGAGCATCTCCTACTAGTATAGTTTTAATGATATTAACTATGAATTATCCGGTCTACAGAAGAAGGCAAAATGGTAACGATGTTTAATATACTTACGACATTATGGATATGTTGCGAAGACTCAAACTGAGAGCACACAATAAACACTCAATAATGGAGTTAATAAAGTGGTACAGGTGACGCCTTTAGCTGAATCGGAAAAGAAAAAAAGCGAATCGGCTGGTTCTGAGAGAAGATTAAACACAGAAGTCGCTGTCATATCGCGCTTAAATTACGTTTACCTCTTGGACGGGCTACACGTAATTTGGCCGAACATGGTCTTCGCATTTTTAAGTCAATACGAGCATTTATTGTGATGTCAGCAAAGTCCTCCTGTCGCCGTTATTATATCAGTTTGACATAAACTGTTGTGTCCCATTTCTAAGTAAACATTCACCAGATACAATAAGACCCAAATGAGCAAAACGATTGGTATAATTCATTTGAGTCAAACCTATAAGATGCTATGGCTTAAAGCAGCAATCATGCTCTAGGTAGAAGATAAGCAAACATGGAATATACATATCGTAGTTACGAATCGGGACTAATTTTTGTATTTCAGGAGTATGTGGAAGTTGGGAAGAAGAAAACTTTTCTATCGCCGAAATAATTTCTTTATTTGTCTGAGCTTTTGAACTCGTACGGGAGTTCATCGTCAAAAATACAGACAGCGACAGGACAAACAATATTCATAGGGGGCTTAAGACAATCAAGCATCGGGGATATCAGCTCGGGGATGTCTGCTGAGGGCTGTGTATGTCCGCGCCACATCGATTAACTGAGTTCTCATATGGGGCCCAGGGCTCGATCAGTTCACGGCTTGTCTTGTTTCTTGCGTGCGCGATTATCCTCGTGTCTGCGAAGTCAAGCTCCTAACCTGTTGCGCAAGTATGGGCAGCCATCTGGGATAATACTGGGATTTAATCTGTCTTTGATTTTGACGACCCCGCTGCGCGTGGTAGCTTTGAGCCGGTATGCATTTCTTACACCCAGCCCCGCAGCAGTGCGTTCAGTCGTCCCTGACATGTCTCTTAGGTATGGCAGAGCACGTAGGCATCGACTTATGAATGCCTACGGTTAGCCGTTCTGCATAAATTGCTCGCGGAGTTATCAGCCTCATGTGATTTTCTTTCTGAATGTTGCAATGAGTCGGAATCCACTTGAAGAGTGTTTTCACTAAGCCTACAGTCTACAGGAAGGCGACGAACTGCACGCAGCTTCTCCATTTTTACAACAACCAACTGGTGACTCACAAACGAATCTGTAGGATTATTACTATCGATGTATCGATCTGGCACCAATATACAGTGCCCTGCGCTGTTCCCTTCAGACTGGTGTCAATGAAGTTTGATTGGCCCATATCCCCTACAATTGCCACCTGTTCCCTGCCGCTTTTATCTCTCACAAAGGAATCTTTTACAAACTCGGACGTTCAGAAGAACAAAGAAATGATTCTGGCGATTGTACAGGCCTCTTCATATTGCTTATATGGTAGTCATCTGTCTGCTGAATTTGTTAAAAACTATGCCTGCGAAATTACGAATTTTGTGCCTCCAGAATAACTTTAAGTCGTAAAGGTTATCATAATATTAACGGGAAAAACGAATTCTTGAGTGGCTAATGAGAGTTCGACCGTCGTTCCCGACGAAGTCCGCCGTGCGCTCCACAGCAGGGTGATATAAAGGACGGTGACTTGCGTGTGCTTTGGTTTATAGTGATAGTAGACTTTCGCAGCATCTACCGCACCCTCCCCTCCTCCTCCACCTGGGCCTGGTGTCAAGACATAGCCGACAAGACCAGAGACGGGAAAGGGCACAGGTGATGGGTACGATGTAAACTCGCACCTAGGTGTACCACCGCACCCCCGATCGACAAAGTACAGCGACCAGGTTTTTACAGGAGAAGAGGAAAGGGGACAAGTAGGATCCCACATAGTGGGAGTGTCATAGAGGCCACATCAAGAGGGAGCCATTGCAACCTGAATCGCAGTCCTCTAGTTGGCGACTCCAAACAAAAACACTGGGCCGACTGAGAGGTCTGAGTTATTCCGTCATTTGGTCCGTTCCAAAACTTATTTGTCCGAGATCCTGTCCTGCCACTTCAGTGTTAATATCCGCGGGAGACAACTGATCGAGATTCTGCGCTTGTTCCTCGTAGACTCCTCAGGTCTCGGCGCCATGCAGTAAAGTCCTCAATATGACTGCCTTGTATGTTTTCAGTTAGGTGTTCAGGTGTAGGCCATGGCGATTCCACACGGCGTTCTGAAGCCGGTGGAAAGGTTAGCTGATTTTGGAGATCCGGTGAGTTAATTCGCAGTCGACTGTGGGCAGCCTAAGTAGGCGAAGCTATCCACGGTCTTCAGTTGGGTGCCGTTAACGTGGATGCGAGGAACACTGTACACAGCGCCGGGTGACTACTGATGCATAACCATAGTTTTGTCCGTGTCGATGGTCAGTCCGGAGTCAGCGCCAGACGGGGACAAAGAGTTCCATGCTCCGTTGTATGTCAGCTTCCGACACAATTTTGAGTGCACAGTCGTCAGCAAATAGCAGATCGTCGACGGTAGTTGCAGTGAGGCGTGTTGAGGCCTACATGCGCGGGGTGTTTAGAAAATGGCCGTCGTCCCCGTAAGCGATGCGGATCCGGGGACGCTCATCTCCATAGCCGTCCATCAACATGGTAGAAAACGTAAGGCCAAAGAGGGCTGGGGCGGGTGCGCAGCCCTGTTTTACTCTGTTGGTTACTGTAAATGCTTCTGAGACGTCCCCGTCGTTCGGGATGCGCGCCATAATCCCGTCGTGAAGCTGACTCCCTCTATACGTGAATCGCACAGGACAGCCGAATTTCTGCGGGATTTTTCACGGTCCATCGCGATTCATCGTGTCAAAGGTTTTCCTTAAGACCACGAACGTAGTGTAGAGGTGGGTCCGCATTTCTTGACACTTCTCTTGCAGCTGACGAGCGGCAAAGATCATGCCGGTAGCTCCGCATTGACTTTCCGGCAGAACCCTCTGTTCGAGATGGCCATTAAGACGTTTGAGGAGGATGCATGTGAAGATTTTCCCGACGATGTTAGACAGAAATATTTTTTGTAGCTATCACGGAGTTGTCGATTCCCTTTCCGCTTGAAAAGATGGACGATGTCGAGTCCTTGACGTTTTGAGTAATTTGCCCTTAGCGACACATCTCCTGGTATAGTGTTATGAGTAGATCCATTGGCTGGGGGCCGCCGTGCTTGCAGATTTCGGCCTTGATCACGTCGTATCCCGGTTCTTTCCCGCTGAACAGTTGATGCACGGCTCCGATTGTTTCTGGGAGAGAAGTCGACAGATCCAGGTCTTTGTTTGTTTCTACCTGAGTGTCAGTCAGTGGCAGTGTTTGAGTTTGCAGATGAGCAGTGGGGAACACTTCTGAAATGCTCGACCTAGTTCTACAAAATCCGTGATTTCACCGTCGGTAGCGTGGTTCTATCGGAGCCTAACGCCCATTAATTGGCGCCCGCCTTTTATTTGTAGCCCCCCGAACCTGGACTCTGCCTAGAGGCCACTGCCGGTAACCGCCTCGACCGGCGGACTGAACCGGACTAGGGTATCCGGTACTGTGTGTTCGCCACGCCCAGTAATTCCTTCCTCATTCCTCTCGCTCTGCATTCCTTTACTTACTCCTTTCCCTCCCACATCCCTTACTCCAACCCTTCCAATCCCCTCTATCTCATTCCCTCCTCCATCTTCCACTTCAAAAATTCCTTCGGAGAGGACAAAGTGCAATCCTCTAGGCGGCTTACGGCCCTCTCAAGTCGCCATCCCACCAAATAAAGCCGTGACCCATAGTGGAGTTCGGTAGCCGTTTGGAATTTCTTAGCAGCCCTATTTACGGACTGCACTGCCTACCCCTTGCGGGAGAATGGACCAGAAAAGGTGCCCTAAACAAATACTGGATTCACGACATCTGAACGCAGACTGTTGCCAGAAGATGCACAATTCACGGTCGAAACAATCAAACAAACGGCAACGCACGTCCCCATCCCTGCCGCACCCCAAAGACTGCTAGAGTGAGTCAACTCACTTCGGCAGTCTTGAATACTCGTTCTCTTTTAGACAATCCGGTAACAGTCGCACAAGAGTTGGCGCGTTACGAAGTGAACATCACTGCTCTCAGTGAGACCCGGTTCTACGAACAGGGCCTACTGGAGGAGATGGGTGTCGGTTACATCTTCTGAGCGCCCACCCAAAGGCTGAGTGTATTAGACTACTTCACCTTTGACAATTTATTCCAGTTTACTTTTAACGTATTGCTTGTTTTAACGTGACGGGAACAACACTACTGTACAAACCCCGCCTCGTTGGCCTGCTCTTCTGTCAGGCCATTTGAGGTTTTGAATATCAATTTTATTCACCAACTGGTCTTACTAACTGCTCTTAGTACTTAGAGCTCGTGAGATATCATTCATTAGTCCGGGAGAAAATCATCACTTACATCAAGAGCGACGTGACGCAGGCATCGCCTTTGCCATTTGGAAAGATATCATAGGACGAGCGCCCTGTCTGCCGCAGGGCGTTAATGACCGCCTCATGAGCCCGTGCCTGCCTCTTCGGGGGGCCCAATTCGTTACAGTCGTCAGTGTCTACGACCCCACAGTGACCAGCCCCAACGAGGCGAGAACCAAGTTCTACGAGGGCCTACACGCCTTCCTGCAGCCGCCGAGGGTGAACAAACTGGTTGTCCTTGGTGACTTCAATACCCGCGTCGGCACAGGCTACGCCACATGGAGGGAAGTGCTGGGCCTCCACGATTTCGGTAGCTGCAAAGACAACGGCCTCCTTCTGTGAACCTGTACAGAACCCCGCCTCCTCCTGACCAACACCTTACGCATTCCTACGCGGGAGAATGCAACCTGGATGCACGCCCGAACGCGGTGCTGGCAGCTACAAAACTACTTTATCGTCCGGAGGTGAGATCGACAGGATGTGCTGATGGCCAATGCTATCTGTGACGTCGATGGCTGGACGGATCGCCGCCTCGTCATCTTTAAGATGAGGTACCATCTACAACTTCGCACGAGACCGCCAGGTAAGTTAAATACTGCTTTGTTGAGTTTGTCTGCTCGTTGCTTGCATTTCGGCAATCAGTTAGCCTGGGGCTTGGAAGAACTGCCGTCCTTGGGCGGCACCGTCACTGTGGAGAATATTGACTGGTACACACTTGGTCGTATGCTACAGCAAAGCTTTGATAAAAATGCTGTACTCGGATAATAAAGAGTCATGCCTTGGTTAATTTCCGAGGAAATTAATGCGCAAACTTGGAGTAAATCTTTCGAAACGGGCCTTTTCAGACACAGTCCAAATTTTGCTATGAATATTTGAGTTGAAATCCATCAGCTACTGCGGAATAACTGCTTAATATTTACAAACCGCCAACAGGCAGCCAATAGTATAGAACTGTGCAATGAGTTTGAGAGAGAGAGAGGAATGCTTTATTTTGAAAATAACATTCAAAACTTTCAGCAAAAAACGGTTCTCCAGTACACAGTGATTACCATAGAGATTAACAGGTATTGGACAGGTGGACATAATTATATATGAAAAAAAAGACTTTAAGGTGCAAGATCAAGTTTTAGCCTTTGTTTTTCAGCATCTTTGCAGGTGAGATACCGGGCTAGAAATGGCAGTATGGAATTCTGATAAGCCGAAGTGCGACAAGGGATGTGGCGGAAGCATCGACGCATGGGGCGTAAGGATTTCGCAGCCATTAACTCGTTATGAAGGGGATGGACGGTGTCATTCAGAATTCGGTCAGCAAATTGCTCCACCGTATTGAAGTGTCGCTGCACGATGATATCAACTAAAATATGATAGGAAACACCAGCAGCAGAGGCGAGCATTCGAATGACACGTGTAAAAATAATTAGATCTTTTTTTAAGTAAAGCTGGAAAAATAACTGGAGAACAATAAAGAATGAGTGGAAGAATACAGCCATCTATGAATCGCCAGATTAAGGACTGGGGGGTATGATATGAACGTAGACGACGAATGTAATAAACAAGTTTTTGAATTTTTGTTAAAAGGGTTTCCATATGAAGAGAGAAAGAGAGATTTGAGAACAAAGTAACACCTAGGTACCGGAAAGAGGATACCTCATTGGGAAGAATATCCAAAGGTTCAGGAATGGGAGAGGATCTCAATCGAAACACACACTGTACTGATTTCTGATTGTTGAGTAGGAGTCCATTATTAGACGACCATGCGGAGACGCGATCTAAGCCATCCAACCATACTAACAACATAGGTATTAGCTAAAAGTCCAGACACGCGTGTTTCGCCGATCTTATGCCGCCGACTGACGCTGCCTGTTGGCGGTTTATGAATATTAAGCGGTTATTCCGCAGTAGCTGATGGATTTCAGTTCAAATATTCACATTAAAATTTGGACCGTGTCTGAAAAGGCCCGTTTCAAAAGATTTACTCCAAGTTCACGCATTTATTTCCTCGGAAATTAAACAATGCAAGTTGAAACTGGAGTTCATATACCAGAAAACACACGGGGAAAGCTGGGGAACTCACTGACGAGCCGAACTCCTCGCAGCTGCGTCATGCAGCGGCATAAGATCGGCGAATTACGCGTGTCCGGGCTTTTAGCTAATACCTGTGTTGGTAGTACGGTAAATCATTGCACAGTTCAATAAAGAGTCAGTTACTAGAGCGGACTGTTTAAGCATGCTTTTGCTGCAGAGTGTACACTTTCATGGGAAAACCGATCTTATGATATATTTATATTAAAAGTGTCAAGCTCCTGCTTGGAGCTCATGAAATTGCAGCTTTCACATGACTCCAACACCACTAAAAATAATTTCGTCGGCTACAGGGCGTGGACAATATAATAAGAATGTAACGGTTTCTTGGCTCGAAATTGGTATCAGACTTGGATCGATGGCTCTCATGTGCGAGTAAGTCCGGAATACTTCTAGGGGGAAATTGCCTGACCTACACACTAGACGCCTCTACATTTAAGTTCATCAAATAATGCAAGGGACCCTGCAATTTGAGCACAGACGCTCCTGGCAAAGATGCCAATGTAGCCCGAACTGCCTACACAGTTTTGTTTTATCCTTACTGTGTCTTTATACGGGACGGGGATGCGGGCAAGATTCTGAAGCCAGGCAAGAAAACTAAATCACTTCCACCTCCATTGCTTCCGAATAATGGCAAGGCGAAATAGGTGGCGAAGATCCATGATACCAAGGTTGAAGAGATAGGGGGTGTGCTCAGTGCCTATGTCATGCTGGCACAATCCTAACTGCGATGGAAAGATCATTTTGTGAGGATGTGAGAGTGCCTGACGAACGTCTATCGAAGGGATTGCTGTACGCTGCCGTCGCCGCGGGATTCTGCAGACAAGTTGGTAAAAGGCAACGATAAGAGTACGCTCTGAGAACCTACCTCAAGCAAATACAAACTAATCAGGAGAAGCTGGAAGGTTTCGGGGGGGGAGTCAGAGATTTGACAAGCTGTCGTAAAAATTGGTGCGAAAATCCCCGAAGTCAACCGGGAAGCGTGGTATGAGGCGAAACGACATGTACCAAGAAACAAATGCTGCTGACCGACTTCATGAATGCATGGAGTTCAACAAACCGATGAGCCTCTTCTGACATATCTCAGCGTTAACACGATCAAGTTACCTCTCACAAAACAAAACGCTACCACAGCAACCACCAGCATCCCCACCCCCAGCGTCACCACTAAAGACACCCCTTCCCATCTGACCTAACTGCTACGCCGTTTTCTGATCCTAGTTTTACTTACATACACCAAAGGAGAACGTCACCGGGGCGAATGCGGCATTCATCACCACACCTCCACTGCAAACAAAGTAGACACAATTCTAAAGTGCGGTCTGGTCGGTTGCGGACTAATCCAGTGCAGCATGACTGAAGAGCCAGTGACAAAAGTCGCAGTCGTAGCGCATGCCTCTACCCACACCGTCTCGGGATGTCTAAACACTGTGTGTGTGACTCCTCAGTCATACCCTTATAGGTGGGAACGTTCAAAAAACTCCAGAGATCTAGGCTTTTCCCCACACATCACTATTCAAGAGCCCTTAAACATACCTAGGCTATGCAGCAACCCAGTCGTTGACACGTTCACACTTGTCAACTACCAGCATATTATAACGTATCGATTGTGCAACAACAATGGGGTGCAATCTGACAGTTTCGTATGTGAGATCGTGCGCATCTCCCTAGTGCAAGAACTGCTCTCTTTGGCGAAGTCTGGTCATGTGAAGTGGAGGTTCAGCACGCGTGTGACGCAACTTAGAAGGAGGCTTTCGCATCACATCAGCCGCTGCGCCCAACCTTGTCTCCCGTCGGCTGACATGCCGAGAGGGCAAGGAGAAGAAAACTGATCCTGGGAAATTTATTTTCGTCGTAAATTACCATGACGCGCTGAAAGTTCCTGCCCGGAGGGCCACCAACTGATGAAATAACTTGGTCCTCCTTTATAACGGGGTTTAAACAGCAACTGTTCCTTCTTATTGTGGCCTCCATAACACTCTCATTTAAGCGGGACCCGAGACTCCGTGAATAAAGCTTGGTACATGCGGACTTGAGAACAAAATCGTGCGTGGCACGCGAGTGTTGACTGTTTGGCTTTGTGTCCCACTACACCCACGGCGACCTTGACTTTGTTTTGCCATCTGAACAAGGTGGCCGTATAAAGTGGGGGGGGAGGTAGACGTATCGCAAATCTATTTCATTTCAAACACTCTTACGCAAATTGTGACTGTGATCACTTCGTGAGATAGTGGTGCGCCTGGTGGCTTTCGGCGACCAAAGTATCAAGTCAAGGGCAGAGGAAACCTGGTATTTAGTCCTCATACCATGTGGGACTTTGGGGTTGGGGTACATGCATGAGCAATTCTGTAGGCCTTCGATGCTCGCAGACATCCCCGGTCAGTCTTCATGGCTGTTAGGGAGGAAAGGGTGGAAAAATACACGTTTACAAAGCTCTTGCGCAGGAAACATATGAAGATGTCACCTTGTCTTGTCAGGATCACTGGGAATTCCTAGCCGGACTGTTTTGTTCCGACAAGACAGTCCTACAAGTTTTATTGATGGACACAGCGGCTACACTGTTGGTTCATTGGAGATGGCGCACCTCCTGCCTGGCCTTTTGAGACTGTAATTACGCATGGTTAAGTGCCATTTGCGTTAGTAAGTCTTCAGGGGTGGAATGCATCCCGCCTGTGGCCGCTTTTATCAGAGCAGTTGTAAAGGCTGAAATAGGAAAAATCCCACAGGCAGGAAACCTTAGTCACCTGAAGAAGTCAAATAATGGATGTACCGATTTCGAGTCCCCGACACTGCCGTTAAATTTCGGGCGCCTCAACTCGAAGCATGATACTCTCTTACCTCAATTCGGCAGTCAAAGCAGCATATAGTCTGTTGCAACAGATTTCATAACCCTTAAAGATCTGGCATATTTCAAGATAGATCGCCGAAACTTTCGGTCAGAAACAGTTATAACCACTCACTAAGCTCAAATTAGCCTTAACCCGACCTCAGGGTGGTAGTTATAACCGATTTTTTTCCATTTCCTGCGTTTTCATAGCAGCTCTCAAGCAACCCCCGACTACTCTTCGCCAAGTGCTCTCTATCTAGCACGGCCGGACTTTCTGTACTGTGAGAAGTACCTTAATAGCCTACTTTCAATTACATACAGTCCGGTTATCGTGAGTTTGTTTTACTGAAGACCCGTTGATGCTCATGTTTAAGTGCCCATTGAAGTAACTCGTGAATTACAATTGGCCGTAGTCGGGTAAAGTCAGGAGCTC